GGGCCCGGCTGCGAGAGCTTCGACGAGAGGGCCGAGTGCCTGCGCCGCATCGAGCCGGGTGCGGGCTGTAAGGATGCGCCCCGAGCTTTTTCCATGGAGCTCGCCTGGGTCACGCGCGTACCTGGGTGCGGCACCGAACCTATCAGGTGGGGCCCGAAGCGTGAGGTCAAGCGCGCGACGTCGGGCAGCTGTGCTGCTGGCGTCTCGGCTAGGGCTCATGTTGTCCAAGCATGTTGACGATCTGAAGATCGCTGGGCACAAGGGGCACGTCGATCGGCTGATCAGCCACATCGAGAGTGCTTTCGGCGAGGCGAAGGGTGACCGCGACGACTTCACCAACTGCGGAGTGCACCGCCGCCGCAGCACCGATGGCACCGTGGCGCCCGACCAGGGCGAGTACATCGACACTCTGATATCGATCAGACACATCGACCTGGTCGTGGCCAAGGCTTACGACAGCTCCCCGACCTCTTGTCTCCCTCTGGGGCGCCACGGCCTACGCCCTGCTCGCCCGGCGCCGCGTCGCAGCGTGCATCGTCGCCCTGCAGCGAGCCGCGAGCCAGCTGCTCGTCTGGCGCGCGATGCAGCTCGACTCCGTTCTTATGGCCATGCAGAATATCGAGGCACGCGTCGCGCGTCCATCAATTGAGTGCGCTGGGCGATTTGGCGCGCGCAGCGACGCGTCTCTCGAGGGGTCCGGCAAGCGCCCCCTGGGCGCCTGCTGGGCCCCGAGGGCCGATCGCACGAACACGTCCTGATTCTCGTCCTGATTCTCATTTGGCTCCGAGCTGCTCGCAGCGCGCGGAGCAGCAGACCGTCTACAGGCGCGCCTCCTCACGCTGCGCGAGATTGCGCGCGGCCCCGCCTCTGCCATTCCGATCGGGGGACTGAAGGGGGGCGGAGGTTGCGCGATCCCTGCAGACCTCGTCATGGACGGAAAAACCGTCTTCAGCGCCCTGCTCGTGGACCCGGTCCGGCCGCCGTCCGGGACAGCGTTGCTGGCCGCCCGCGGTGGTTAGCCGACCAGATGCGCACCAATCAGATCGACGATTTGCCTTGGCGCGACGCTCGGGGCACTCGGGCCGACCCCGTGACCAAGGGCAGCGTGGGCCGAGTGCTAATCATCAGCGCGGTGTGCGGCCAGATCAGCTATGGCCACGCTATGGTCAAGTTCAGCGACGAGAAGCTGACGAGGCCCGTCCAGAGCACGCAGCGCAGCTCACTCGTGACTGCGTCACGGGGTTATGCGGAGTCGCAGAGCGGATATTTGCAGGACTCGCATTGGCCCGCTGGGGGTCGATCGCGTGCTCCGACACATGCAGAAACCAACGTGCGATATTTACGAGTTGAGTATTCAAGTGAGTGGGCTCGCGCGGACTGTCCGTGCAGCCCGCAGCTGTTCGTTTCATATTATCGCGTTGTTCTGTGGGGGGAATGCGTTGGCCTTCTCTGACTATTATCAGGAGCTCGGTCAGGAGTAACTTTATCTCTACCGCTGGCGCCGTAACATGTTTTTTGCGATGGGCGCCGTGGGGGGCCCATGTGCCCCGGGGACGCAGTGAAGTCTGACAACTCCGAGGCATGTTGGAACCAGGTGAACGTATCCTCTCGCAGCCAGGGAACTTTTTATGAAGGGGCGGTTCGTGGGCCCCCCCCCCTTCATTGTGCTGCCGAAAGCACGACGGACGGGTGTGAGCAGCAGACTCGGACTTGCCTGGTTCAATGTTCTCCCCTTGCCGACGCCGTTTGTTTTCCGGGGTACGAAGGTTGGCCAATCTTCCGCGCCCGCATTAGACGCGCCTTCAGGGATTCCACCCATGCCACACTCCGCCTGTAGAAATACCTGGTTTTTCGTATCTTCCCATCTTTATCTTCATATCTAGTTGCAGGAGCGCCGGTGGCAGAGATCCTGTCCATCGGGCCGGCGGCGGTTGCTTTCAGACAGGTTGGGAACGTGGTTGTGCTGGAAGCGCCGCTGTTCGAAGCGTCGAGCGGCCGAAATCCAAAGCTCTGCTGTAGAGTTGCAGGCGGGTTTGCGAGGAGGTAAAGGCAGGGCGATGCGATGCTTGGCGTGAGGACTCCTCCCTGGAGGACAGTTTCATCTCCGTCGTCCCCATCCTTTTGACCCTTCCGGCGAGTTAGCCCCTTGAGTTTATCGTTTTTTTTTTCATAAGACGGGTCGTTCAGATCTTTGCGATTTTTTCCGGATCGATTTGCGGGGATCAAACCATGTAAATCAAGCCAAACCAAAAAAGTCGGGGCACATCACATGCAATGGGCCAAATGCAAAAATTTCCGGGGACGTCCGGAGCAAGCCGTGGACGCTCCAGCGCAAGGCGAGCGTCAGCAGAAATCGTCAAGGCCCTAACGGGCGGAAGGGTGCGCGTCTTCGAGGCATCCTGGGCTATCTTGGGCTACCTTCGAGGCATCTTGGATCCTCTTGGCGGCCTCGGCTGGCAGACTGGGGCATGCGCGGAGACGCGACGTGATGGAGGGTCCCTATTTTTTTTCATATCACCGTCCAGTGCATCGTAAGAATTTCATAGTTTCCAACGTTACCCTTGCATCTTTGCCCCTTCGGCCCACCCTTGGCGAACTTCGCCGGCTTTTCTCGCTGGCCCACTTTCGCTGTCGAGCACGTCGAAATTGCCTTCCAAGGCCCTTTGCGCTGTGACTGTATGCGCAAACGGGAAGGAACCCTACCAGACCGCCCTCGGTACTCCTCCGCGCCTCCGCGTGCACCGGGCACGGCGGCGGGGCTGGGAGGGCGGAGCGCGGGCCCACCCGCTGGAGCCGAAGCTCCCTGGGGCGACGCGTGGGGGGGGGGGGCCACGGCGGCTGCGGCCGAGGGGCCCTGCAATGGTCCCTGAAAAGGGGCCCTGCAGAGCCCAACGGGGGGGCCTTTACAGGGTCCGAGAGGTGCCCGTTTGCCCCCCCCCCCCCCCCCTCGCCTGTGTCATGGGTGCCCTTGTGTCCTGTGCCTCGCGCCGCTTGCCTCTTCGCGTTCCTACGGCAATGTGGCCCTCGGAACGGGTCTTTTGTCCTCTCGCGTGTCCTGTCCAATGAAGTTCGACGGTAGACTATTCGCGGCAGGCTAGCCTTGCACGGTCCGTGGCCGGAGTGTGCTTCTGGCCGGTTCTGCTTGCCCCCCCCACTGATCGCCACTCCCGCTGGGTGACGTCCAAGAGGGGCAGGGGGCCTGCGCGGCGGCAGGTTCGGGCTCTGGTGAGGCCGGCGGGCTCTCCTGGCGGCCCTCTGTCGGGAGCAACGTCAAGGGGGGGGTCAGGCGCAAGGGGGGGCGGCATGCAGCGACCCCAAATCGGCCATTCATCGCCGATGGGGGCCCGATAGCCCACCCCGCCCAGGAGCGTGCGGGTTCGCCATCGGGAGCCTGCCGCCGATCTTCGTCGCCGATTCCAGCTCGACGGCTCCCCCCCCAGGGCCGCTTCCCCCCTGTCGTTGCCCCTCACCTTCTTGTGTTTTTTGTTCAGCCCGGCCGCGTCTGAGTGGCCTGGGCGCTCGCGCGCGCGTTTCTCGGGCGAAGAGATTTATGCACATGCACCGATCCTGGCAAGGCCCATCCTTGACCCATGGTCGGTGCATATGCCTTCCTGGCCAAGGTAGGAGGGCGTATGCACCGATCCTGGGCTCAGGATGGGCCTGGCCAGAATCGGTGTATATGCATAGTTCTTTCTCCTCTAGTTTCACTCACTCGACCTCGGCGCGCCTCTGTCTGGGCGGCCAGGGCGATTACAGGTAGGACGGCCTTCGAATCAGCGCAGGAGGGCCCCCAAACGGGGGCCTGCAGCTCGCAGCGCGGCGGCGATCATCTGAGGGAGGGGGCGGCGCCACTCGACGCGGTCGCTTTGACCCCCCGTCAGCGAAATTGCCCCATGAAGGGCTTTATGCTTCACAGTCGATTCCGTGTGCGCTCGCAGTTGCTCTGTGACTGCTAGTTTTCCTGAAGAGCTGCCAATCGTGCGTTCTTCTGCCCACGCGTCCTTCCGGACGCTCGGCTCAGTGGTGGTGGTGCCGATGGCAGCGGTTGGAGCTGGCTGGGGTTCCGAGCTGGCCCCGCACTGGTGCCGGCGAGCAAAATGGACGGGCAGAGGTCCGACATGCCTGGGTTCGAGTCGTTTTGTTGCCTCTTTCGGCCTCCGGGTGCCGCTTGCTGGTCCCGTGGCCATCAAACGCAGACCTATAGGCTGAAAAACTGCACCTGTTGGACTCCGGGAGGGGACCGGGGACCGATTTTGAGCGTCCTTCAGTATCGTTTAACAGATCCCAATCCCCATCCCCATCCCCATCCCCTTCGAGACCCCCCCACAATTACCACCCCAGTTGGGGATACGCCCCTTGAAACCCGAAGAGAACGACCTAGATCCCCATCTAGGGGGGTAGATCGGCCAGTGGGGCCCAGGCCACGCCGCTGGGGATGGGGATCGGTTAAACGACAGGGCTGGACCTAAAGGGTGTTTCTGGTGATTTCGTGGGCCGTTTTCGCGTCGACCTCGTTTTGTGGCAGAGGCGGACTCGAGACAGAAGCGAGGGACAACGAAATCAACACGACAGCGAAAAACACCGTTTAGGTTCAGCCCTGTTAAGCGATACGTCCACGTCCCCCTTTCTTGGCCCCCTGGCCGCCTCCAACACATCGGTTCCTCTGCATGATTTGCGGAGGGCTTGCGCGTGTCCAGCTTCAGGAGGGAAAGACACAGAGACACAATTCATCGTCGACTCTCAGGAAGATATGGGAAAATACTGGGAAGTGGGGCGGCAGACGAAAACCCAGAACACATGGGAAAATACGGGAATCCTGTGATTTGTGTCTTTTTATTTGTGTGTCCTTGGGTCCCTTCACTGTTGTCCGTGCGCGGCCCAAGAGGTCCCGACCCGCGAGGTGCTTTCGTTGCCCAATTTTGCGGGGTCGCTGCGGTAGACGGCTCCGCTGGAGGCATGCGGCATAGGTCCAGAGCGTCCATCGTTAGGGACAGAGGGGGGGAGAAGAAGCAGTCGGCAGCAGCAGGTCGATATGTTGTTGCACCCTTGCGTGTCGGACACATCCGCGCCTTGCTGCGGTCGGTCGACCACTGGCGCAGGCGATGTAAATGTCTGGATGTCCAGGTCTCCCAAGTCGGGTCCGAGTAGTTGGGATTGGAAGATCGCATCGGCCATGCGGCTCGATGTGGAGCCCGATTTTCTCCACGCCGATGCGCCGATGCATCGCAGACGTCGCCGACGCATCGCCGATGTATCGCCGATGCGCCGGTGAGGCGTCGGCGAGGCGGCGCGATCCCTACTCCGACCCCACTTGGGAGGCTTCCGGGAGGGGCGCTCCCAACCTCAAGCTTTTTCTGTCCATGGTGTCGCGGTCATGGTGGGGCCGACCTGGCAAACGCCGATCCGTGCTGAGTCGATGTGCAGGCTGCTGCCCGTCGTCCGCCAGTGGCCCACGACCTTTGGCGGCAGCAGGCTGCTGCACGCCCCACCTGTATTCCAGGGGCGTCTGACAGCCAGAAGTGTCGATGGCGACCGTGGTTCTGCAATTTCTGAAAGCCTGGTTATACCTGCTTGTGTTCCCCCCTCCATCAGAAATCCCCTCCCTGGAGAACTTAACTGCCTTCAGGGGGCACGGGAGTTGTGCAGCAGGGTGATGGTCGCCTTGTCTCTTGCACTTGTAATACACATGTTTCTTACCCGAGCCAATTCCGATAAGGCCGTCGCTACCGAGCAGGTACTAAAAGCAATCTTACTCGATGATTCCGCTCTCTCTCTGCCAGTCCAGCTCGTGCCACCGTGCGTGTGCAATTGAATGGATGTCTGTCAGGAGCGGCACCCTGTTCTGCGGGCCGTCGACGGGTTTTTTGGATCAGCAGCGTGGGCCGCTGAGACCGTCTTGTCGGGCGACGACGTCTGTACATGTCCACTGCTCCCTGGCCGAGGCCTTCTACTGCTGCACCCCTCGTCCCCTCTCCGTCGGCCCCTCCCACGTGTTCGGGCCGTCCCAGCCACAACTGGGGGAGCTGTGGTCCTTACCCCCCTGGGGGACCAATCGATTTCGACACCCCTCTCGAGAGATCGTCGATGCGATGGGTTCCCCCAGGGGGGTAAGGACCACAGCTCCCCCAGTCATGGCTGGTCGGGGTGGGCCCCCCGAGCCCACCCTCCGAGCTCCTCCTTGGGTGGCCCCCTCCCCGCCCGCCCCCCGGCCCGTGCTTGGGCCTGGCACCCGCGGCGGGGCAGGCGGTGCGAGCGCTCCCGCTGAGCTCGCAGAAGGAAACGCGGCGTGAGCTCAAGTCGGGCGTGTCCTTCTACAGGAGGAATGTCGGAACGTCGTAATTCAAGAAGTCTGGGGGCGATCCTTCGACTTCTCTTGGTTTGATTTTGTTTTGAATCGTTTCTGGCTGTGTTGTATAGTTCTTCCCGAATCCGCCTGTGGGAGGGCATGCCCGACCTAAGCATGAACATGAATTTTCGGCGCTCCGCGCGGGCTTCTCGGATCGCCGCTGGCCCCCCTCCCTGGCGCGCGGAGCGCGCAAGGGGGCGGCGCTGGAGGCGCCGCCAGGGGGGCAATCAGCACCGATCCAAGATACTCGCGCGGAGCGCCGAGAGTCCATGCTTTGCAGCTTCCTTTCCTTCTCTGGCAGTCTGCCCGGTCTGGCCGCATCGGCCGCCCAGCTCGGAGGAGAAGCGCGGACCGCCCTTGCGGATCTCTTGGGAACTCCTTGGGGCATCTCGGGAGACCTCGGAGCCTCTGTGTGCTCGTGGTGCCGTCGTCGGATGGTACCGAGGCGTCCCGTGGCTCTCCTGGAGTCCTACATAGAGATGCTGGCAGGGGGAGCCACAGGCCAACAACAAAAAACACTCAGAGGGGATGGCTTCCCGAGGACGCGCGCGTCGAGTTCTCGCCGACGGGCTTGGTCCCTGCTGTCCCTGCTGTGGAGGACGCCCACGACCACGAAGGGAGTGACCCAATTCACATGCAACAAAAACAAACGAGTTAGGAGGGGCCAAGGCAGCCGAAGAGGTCCTCCTCCTCCACGGGGAGTTCACCTCTGCAGCGCCTGGCCTCGACCTCGGCCCCTAGCTCCACGACTTCCGCCCTCGACAGGCCGAGCAGTGCGAGTCCTCGCACACGGTCTGCGGCGGGACCCCCGCCGCGCGAGGGCTGGGCCCCCCGAGCAACTCTCGGCGGGCGGTCGCGGCCCAGGGACCAGGCCTCGAAGTAGGGCCTCCACTCCGAGCGAACCTCAGGAGAGGGGGCCCCCGTGTACGCCATCGTGAGCCCTCGAGGATTCCGATGGGCAGGATACCGTCCAGCACGAAATCGGTCAAGGTAGAACCCCCGTCCCCACGACGCGACAGGACGACACCTCAACCGAAGATTCCCCCGTTTCGTGCTGGAATGTGCCATAGCACCACACGCCGTGCAGCACAGCATAGTATCGTGATACGTGCAGCCATCCGACTCATAAACCACGCCCTGTTCAAGGGAGTGTCCCAGCTGGAGCCAAGCTCCTGGGGTCGGGGGGTTCTCAGGAGGCGGCTCACCAGAGTTCGCACCAGGGGTGACGCCAGGGACCTCCCCCGCACCTGGCGCACCCAGAGGCACCTCGCACTCCGCACTTGGCTCACCCTCCCCAGGGTCCGAACCAGGAAGGGGGAGGCCAGGGACCGCGTCCAGGAGGACGTAGCTGAGCCATTCCAGCCCTTGATGGTCGTTCAGGGCTAAGTCTCTGCATTCTACCTGCTGCCTGGCACTGTGCAGCCCAACTCGTCGGACGAACTCAGCATATCCTGACACAAACAGGCGGTCCTCGCGCGCAACTCGGAATGGTTCAGCTCCTTCCTTGGCGAGTCTGTCCGCCTCCGAGTTCCCGAAACGCTGCATCTCCGTGATACGGCCGTCCCTGACATCCAACATTGACGAGTGAGACGGGATCTGATGCACCGCTACGCCTTCTAAACGGTCCCCAATCTCCGCCCACCAGTGGGCTCGGGCCGAGGCCGCTCCAGCAGCCCCCGAGAGGTTTCGGAGGCAGCCGACCGTGGCCGCACAGTCCACATGAAGCGAGACCCCTGAGGCGAGGACCGAGCGGCGGGAGAGCATCAGAACTGCAAAATCCTCGCCATCCCGTGCTAGTTGTCCAGGCGCTTCCCCGAACGGCACTACGCCAAAAAGGGCTGCGAGGGTCCTCCCGAGCCTGTCCAGCACCACAACAGCCCACCCCGCGGTCCCGAGTCCTGTGAGCTCCCCTTCAAAACCCGACCCGTCCGTGAACACATGGGCCCCCTCCGGAATGAAAAGGGGGCCGTCCTGAGGCCACTGAAAGTGCCTGGTGCACGGGTCCTGCGGGTCGCGGGGGGGTCGCTCCACCCAGGCCGCAGGGTTGGGGAAGAGACCTCTGCTAAAAAGTTCTCCAGCCGAAGTGGGGAGATGGCCAATCGCACGAGCCGCCCTCTCCACCACGGGATCCAGGTTCTCGCGTCGCCAGGGAGCGAATGCCACACACTGAAACCTGCGATGGTACAAAGTGCCCCTACCATCTCCACAAAGCTGGCATTGGTCAGGGGCTTCAGGACTGTGCTCGCACACTCTGTGCTGGCTCCAGTACACATTCGCACACAGAGCTGACAGGGCTGCCTTATGCGACTTCGTCCACGACTCTGAACACTTCCGCCCAAGGAGCTGATGAATTGGCTGCCAGAAGATTGGGCCGCTCCAGGTCCCGAAATCAAACTGTTTCAACTGCTCCTCCCGCTCTATAGTCCTGACGACCGAGCCACGCAGGAGAAGGGTGAAAAACTTGGGCGAAAACCGATCAATAGACCACGCACGGTTGAGGTCATCAACCAGGGCCATTCGAGACAGGTCGAAACTCCAGCGGATCCGAGCCAGCTGCAGGAAAAGCGCAGCAACAGGCTGGCGGACTTGGCCCCAGGGGGCCCTGCTCCCCTGGACCGCAATGGCATCCTGGACACAAGCCTCAAACACTGGTTTCGAAACCGAGCGGGCCCACCAAACACTGACGAATTCCTTTACAGCCGACGACGCAGCCACCAAAAGCGGGTCCCTGAGCCAGAGGCGGGCAGCCGAAAGAAACCTGAAGCCCAGGGAGGTGCCAGGAAGAAGAGGGCCCCAGGATCTCGCAGCTTGGACCCTGAGCTTATGGAGGGTGGTCGGCGGGATCCCCAAAATGTGGGACCCCCACGCAGCTTTAGCCAGCGCACCCACACGAAAAACTCTACTGTGCTTTTCACTTTGCCCCAGTTGACGAAGGGCGCGTGCGGTGCTGCGGGCAGCATCACATCTCGATGTCTGCGTGCCGACCCGCCTCGCCCTGCCGTCCAGCGAGTCGCCGCCGAGGTCACGGTGGGCGATGACCAGCTTGTCGTCCGATAGCTTCCACCTGGGGTCCTGTCTCAATGCAGGCAGCTGAGATTGATCGGACATCATGAATCTAGTCTTGTCCCAATTGATCGGCAACTTCCTCGAATCCAGCTCGGCGGTGACGATCTCGAAACTCTTGACCGTGTTCTCCACCACCGTCCTGGGGCCTCCGATGATATGCGTCGTCAAATCATCGACCACATTCAGAGCCCGACACGGAGGCGTTTCCTCAGCCAGGCGCTTGAGGAGGCACAGAGTCATCAGCTTCGCCACTCCCGTAGCCGCACTGCATCCAGCCACGATCGTACCATTCGGGTGACTGACTCTGCTCGTGCCCCCTGTCCAGCGCGCCCGCCGTGGTGCACGATACAGGCAGCAGAGCGCCTTCAGCAAGGCGCCATCGAAATCGTAGTGTTCTGCTGCTTCACGCAGCTGCTGATGACTGACATTCTCGTAAAACTTGCGGATGTCGTAGAAAACAGTAATTGCCGACAGCTTCTTCCTTCTGGCGTAACAGGCCAGCATGTTATGCAAGTACGCCGCCTTGTCGCAACTGGTCGTGGCATCTTTACCCCAGAAGAACTTCGCGTCCACAGACGTCTCCCAACTCTTTACATACTGCCTTCTGCATCTGCTCCAAATGCGTGCCCAGAAACACAAGAGCCCAATAGGCCGTGTGCCCCCACCAGGTTTGGGCAGAAAAACATTGATCGTGACCCACATGCGTTCACATTGCGGATTGCGCTCCCAACTGGAGATAATCTCCTGCAGTCTCCGCACAAACACCCCATCCAGAAAGGTAACCAGCCTCATGTGAAAGTTGTCCCAGCCAAGCCCAGTAGAAATGCCAAAGGAGCGGCATACCTTGACGATCTGGTCCTCCGATATCGGGTCAAGCTTCCACGGGTAACTCCAACCAGACGGCGCTGCCTCCTGGGCCCTATCGTCAGAGATCCACAGCTCTTCCCATTCCTCCAGCACCGCCGTGATCGCCGCAGCTCCCACCAGACCGTGGGGCTTGCCTTTTGCCAGCGTGGGCGCCTCCTCTAACATCTTGGGCCTGGAGATCGCGTGCGCTATCCTGCCCGAGCCTTGAGCAGCAAGTTCACCGAACTCCCTCCAAGCTTTACTCCTGGCCTGTGAGTCTTTGCGCCTGCGAACTTCCACCTCCTCCACAAGCACCGTCCGAAACCAGGCCGCCAATTGACCTCCTCTCTTGGCCAGAGCCACCCACTTCTGGACCTCCTTAGCCTGCAGGGAGGGGGACTCCGAGATGGCCTCAGGTAGCCTCAAAGCCAGCAACTGCCTTTCGCACCTCTCTGAGTGCTCTGGTCTGCCTGCCTTCGACCCAGGCGGAGCTGATGATGCAACACATAAGGCATCCCATAGCCTGAGGGCACTCAGCCAGGCTCTAGTGTCCGTCTCGTCGTGGCGCTCGAGAATAGATTTCGCACAATCCACCAGCCTCTTCTTCTTGAGTACCACGCCCTTCTCCCTGCCAAAGAAGAATCTCCTGTCCGCGATCGGAATCTCGAACAGCTGCACGAGGTACTTCTCCGCCGCTTTGAACCACATCGCTGCCGCATCCTCAACCGAGCTCACAGGGGCATCCAGATGCCACTCGTCAAGCACAGGTATTGTAGGCCGTCCCGTGGTCGGGGTGAGGACGGTCTCCATGGCGCCCCTGGCCTTCTTCCTGACCCTCCTCTTGGCCTCCTGGTCGGCCAGCGGAAAGGCTCGCGGGGGCGCCTCCACCCAGACAAAGGGCTCGTCACTGAAGCCCTCCAGCTGATCTCCACGTAGCAGTGTGGCGAGATCGGCGTGTCCACCCTGGCCTTCACCGACATGGGGAAGGCGTCCAGAGCCTGGGAGCCAATGAAGTAGTCGTACTCTTTGCCATTGCAGGTTGGGCAGCCAGGTGCGAAGATGGTGGCGGCTACCAGGTCCAGCCAGCCCAGCTCCATGATCTCCTCAGGTTCAAGGTTCCAGTCGCCTCCGAGCAGGAACGGGAAACGCTGCGCCCCCAGGAAAGTGCTGAGGAACTCCAGTAGCTCCAGGTTCTCGCCCTTGGGGCCGATCGAGTCGACGCCATAGACCGAGCCGATGATGATCCACGAGTGAGCGCCTACCGTCATGAGCCTCATCACCACCCGATGCTGCCACCTCTCAGGCACCTGGAGCTTGGACACCCCAATGCTCATGGCCGCCGACAAGCCCACTCCAGCTGAGAGAGATCTGGCCGATTCTCCTGTGCGCTTTGCCGAACCCAGCGCCAGCTTCCGAGAGCAAGTACGGGTCCATTGATGGGCCCCTGCTTCCCCCGACTGGTCCAGTACGGTCTCCTGAATGCACAACACCTGCGGCAACTGGCAATGCATCTCAATCCAAGGCATAGTGTTCCGAGCCCTTGGCCACGTATTCGCATTCAGAGTGCCCACTCTGAACGTACCTTGGGCCCCGCGGTCCTCAGGAGGGAGCCCCTCCATCAGTGAGATGACCTGCTTCGGCTGCAGCGCTGCCATAGCTTCTTCTTGAGGTTGCTCAACACTGACTCCCTTGGCTCGAGACCCAGCACGTGGCGACTGAACCTGGGAGGGCACTACAGCCGAAAATCGGTTGCCCCCAGGATTTGGCGTTCTAACACCCGAATCCCACGAAGGGCTCTCGCAATCTACTCTGAGACAGCCAGGTTCGAGGAGCACCTGGCTGTCGCGTTCTGACGCTGAAATTCCTTCACTGCGTGCAGCCAAAGGTTTGGACGAGAAGGCCGCCAAGCTGTGGGTGGGCTTGACGGCTGCGTTCTGAATGGCTGACACGTACTCGGCGCACTGACCAATCACCGAACTCCGTTGCCCCATCTCCTCGCAATTTAACTCTGAGGAGACCAGGCTCGAGGCGCACCTGGTCTCCGATCCGACAAAGCTCGTTGTCGCCACCCGTGAAGTCGACGACGCCACCGCTGACCAGGGAGTTGCCGACACCGGAGCCGACGGCGACACAGCAGCGCAGGGAGTATGCGACACCGACGATGGACACGCAACCGACGAAGACAACCTTGACGATTTCTGTTCCATCCAGCCAGAGGCAGAGTTGAACTCTCCGCGCCGTGCGCGGGGCCGGGGAGCAACGGTGCGAGGGTCACTAACGGCGCACCGCCGGGCAGTCCCCACTCGCACCGCTCCCCCCGATGACCAGGAAGGAGGAGTCGCCGAACACGGCCACGACGCCCCTACCTGTGTCGAGCACCCGCTGTGGCTAAAGCCCCGCCCGTTTAGCCGCTTGCACTCCACCGTCAGCAGCGACCAGAGAGCGAATGTCCACCTGTGTGGCCGCCTTGCCCACCTCCTCCACCGACGCCTCGGTAGGTGAGCCTGCTGTCGCGCTCCCTGGGCTCGCCGAAGACCCTGTTCCAGACTCGATCCCACCTGTGTCCGATGCTTGTTCCCCATCACCAGCCGTGCGTCGACGCTTCGATTGGAGGCGCTTGAGATGCTCCTTGTGCTGGTCCTGGGCTGAGTTGGCCTTCTCCAGCGCTTGCCGAAACACCGAACCAAGTACCTCTTGCAGCTGCTTCGCCACGTCGTTCTTGCGCTCCTCGAGTTCGCGGAGGTCATCCTCGGACACCTCGTAGCTGCCCTTGACCGCCTCCACGTCAATGAAATCGTCGCAAGAAATAAGGCTAGCCAGCTCCATCTCCCCGTCGATGAGCTTGCGCAGGCTGATGCTCGCGGGGCCTCTGGACTCCGTCGCTGGTGGTCCTTTGTGCTGGCTCTGGAGCTCCACCAAGGCGGCTGCCACCTCGCCATCGGCGGCCTGCAGCTCGTCAGCCAGGGTCCCCACCGTGGCCGCCAGCTCGTCAGTAGCTCGACGCCAGCGCTGCAGCTTCTCGAACTCGACCTTGAGGCGCTTCTCCAGCTTCTCCTGCTTCTGCTCAGCAGCCACGAGCCGCTGCCTCCCCGACGGCTTCGGGGGTGGAGCCGCCCTCTGCGCCAGTGCTCCATATCGCGCGGCCCCCGCAGCGTCCCCAGCTTCCCGAGCCAAACGCTGTAGTTCGAGGGCCTTGGCCTGAGGAATCTCGGGAACGGGTCCAGGAGGGAGAGCAGAGGAGAGGTTGCCAGCGCCTTTGCCACCGAGAGGATCACCCTTGCCGACTTTGTATCCTTTCTTCCCCTTGCTCGCTCCCTTCCCCGACTCATCCGACGACTTGGGGCCACCAGAGTCTTCCAGAGGTTGGGGTCGTGTACCGAGCTTCTGGCCACAATGCTTGCAGCACATCGATCCTTTAGAGTTCTTACGGCAACCGCAGTGGTGGCATAGAATTTCACCTTTGGGACCCGCCACCGTCTTCCATACTTCCTCGTGCTTGGCTCGCTGGCCGTCCCAGGACTCCCACTTGGCAGCCGATGAAGCCCCGCCCTCCGGTATGGTGCCCCCCCAGCGACGGGGCCTGGAGGCCTGAACCCACGGTCGGCGCTCCCACTCGTCAGAGCCTGCAGGAGCCATGGCGCGAGAAAGAGGAAAGGGATGATGGAGGCTCGCGAACCCCTCGACTGAGGGACCTCCTGAAAGGTTGATAACTGCCGCGGACTAGCGGTATCCGTTTTTGCCAATGCGGGCTCAGCCCGCCAAAGCATGGGTCTTGAGCCAAAATGGCTACGCCGACCCTGCTGTGGAGGAGGAGAGGAGGATGGAGGAGGAGGGGAGGAGGATGTGAGGAGGGAGGAGGAGGAGGAGGAGGAGGAGGAGGAGGAGGAGGCTGGCTGTGGTCTGCGCTCCTCCTCCGACCCCGAGGCTCCCTCTTTTCGCTGCGAGCCCGCAGCGCTGCCGCACGCCGCAGGCCTCGGCCTCCGCGGGCGGGGGGGCCGCGCCGGCCTCTGCGGCCTCCGCGGCCTCCGCGGGCGGGCCCCTGCCCGCGCAGCGCCGGGCGCCGCCGCAGCTCCCGGGCGCCCCGTGGCCCCGCGCGACCCGCGGCGGCCTTGGCCCCGCGCGCCGGTGCGCAGAAAAGGCGGAGGTCATGTTCTGGACGCCCGAAATGGGTACTGAAAGAATGGGTGCTATGCCCAACAGCGGATCTTGTTCATTTTGAACAAGATCCGCTTTCCACGCCGCCGCGGCTTGTGTCCATTCGAGACAGGAGGCCGCCCGCCCAACAGCGGCCGCTGTTGGTTTGGGACAACATTTGTTGTTGGGCATAGTGCCCATTCTTTCCGTACCCATTTCGGGCGTCCAAACATGTCAGGGTAGGAGGTCTATCCACCCCCGAGTAAACACAAAAACTCGGAGGCCCGCGCGGATTGTTCGGATCGGCGCTGACCCCCCTCCCTGGCGCGCCAGGGGCGGCGCCGGAGGCGCCGCCAGGGGGGGGGTCCAGCGCCGATCCGAGGAATCCGCGCGGACCTGCGCCTCGTCTGGGGCGCTTGGGGGGATCTTCTGGATCGTCCCGACCGGCCCCCGGAGCGCCAGGTTGTGCAGGTTACGAGGGCGGAGGGCGCTGCAATCGTTTGCCAGGGCTGGACCTAAACGGTGTTCTGGCGATTTCGTGGGCCGGTTTCGTTTCGACGTCGTTCTGCGGCAGAGGCGGATCTATGACGAAAGCGAGGGAGGGAAAGCGAAAACAAAACGGAACCGAAAAACACCGTGTAGGTTCAGCCCTGTCGTTTGCAAGCCTTGTCCGTACAGGTCCAGCCAGCCCCTTGTCGGGGGTTGTCTTGGCTGCAGACGTCCTTCGGAGTCTGACCCGCAGGGGTCGAGTTCACACGTGGTTGCCTGGAGCGAGTGGCGCATGGTGGGTAGTCGTCGGCCACGCGCAGAGGAGGCTAGGGGGAGGGGGGGAGGCTTCTCAGAAGGCGGCTGCTTCTCAGAAGGCGCGGGCCTTGTTTGCAGATGCCAGGCCCGCGTCTTCTAAAGCAGAATGAAGCCTCCCCCCCGCCTCCCTACCCCCCCTGCGCCGCCAAAGTCGGGCGCGACGGCGCAACAAGTGCGCAGCCAGTGTGGGTGGTTTGGACACCTACGGCGAATCACCACTCACGCGGCCAAACGTTGGGCCGAAGTCCAGCCAAGCTATTGGGCGATGTGCTCCCCCCAGCCGTCGTGAAAACCGTTTGGGGAACATTTGGGAGAGGAAGGGAAAAGAGAACAGAGGGAGGAGAGGGCGGAGAAGGAGAACGAGGAGGAGGAGGAGGAGGAGGAGGAGGAGGAGCCGGAGGAGGAGAAGGAGGAGGAGGAGGAGGAGAGGAAGAAGAAGAAGAAAAAGAAGAAGAAGAAGAAGAAGAAGAGGAGACCTGGGAGAACCTTGGAATCAGAGTTTGAACCCTTACTCTCCAGAGTTCAAGGCTTCAGCATCTCCGATTCCCTTTAATTCCAGAGCTTAATAACCTTAGCTCCAGAGTTCGAGTTTTTTTTTGTGGGGGGGGGTTTGGGTTTCTGGAGCTGGTAGGAAGCCTCTTGACAGGCCCCTCTGGATGCCTCTTGAGACGCTCTCTAGATGCTCCCTGGAGACTCTTCAGGAGGCCCCTCAGGAGGCCTCTAGAGGCCCTACAGGAGGCCTTGATGGTGGTGGTGATGATGCATGGATGGTGATGGTGATGTTGGGTGCTGGTGGTGATGGTCAAGGTGATGGTGATAGTTATTGGTCATGGTGATAGTGGTGGAGATGGTGATGTTGATGATGATGATGCTGATGAGGATGAAACTCACGATCTCGGTGACGATGGCTACGACAATGATGTTTGCTGCTGCTGATGCTGCTGCTGCTGAGCATGATGATCATTATGGTCATGATCATCATGATCATGCTGATGATGCTGCTGATGATGCTGATGATGCTGATGAGGATGATGATGCTGATACTGATGCTGACGATGGTTATGATGATGATGATGCTGATGATGATGCTGATGATGCTGATGATGATGGTGATGGTGATGATGATGATGATGCTGCTGATGATGATGTTGATGATGCTGATGCTGATGATGATGATGCTGATGCTGATGCTGATGATGATGATGCTGATGCTGATGCTGATGCTGATGATGCTGCTGCTGCTGCTGATGATGATGATGTTGATGATGATGATGATGATGATGATGGTGCTGCTGCTGATGATGATGATGCTGATGATGATGCTGATGATGATGATGATGATGATGATGATGATGATGATGATGATGATGATGATGATGATGATGATGATGATGATGATGAACGCTATAACGTGCCTCGCCGCCGGCCCACGCGAGCCGGGGCCGCCACGTGGGTGCGAAGGTGTACGCGCTTCGCGGTTTGGGCGCTAGGGGCGAGAGCGAGGGGCGGGCGGGATGGGGCGGCGCGAGAGAGCGCCCAGCTGCTCGCGCTCCTGTGCCCGCGCCTCTCGCGGAGCGCGCGCGAGGCACGCCAAGTTCGGCGCCGGAGCGCAGGCCGCGGTGTGAGGTTCGGGGGTTCGCAGAGGTAGGGTTGTCCCAAGGTGGGGCTGGGGAGCGGGCCCAGCTGGATGCTCACGTTTGGCGCGTTTCCTTCTTCCTGGGGCCGTTCGGCGCGATTTTTTCCTTCCAAGCCCCACCTTTGCCCCCCCCCCCCCCCCCCGAAAGGTCGCCGTCGTCTCGCGTGCGACCCGCTTCTTCCCGTGGCTCCAGGGGGCCACATCGGGGGCGTCGTGCTGGGGCCGAAGAGCGGAGCCTCGCCGGCCCAGTGGACAGCACGCCCCGTGTTGAGCGGGCCGTCGGGGGAGTCCTGCCCGTCGCTGGTGGCCCATTGGGCAGTGGGCCTCCCTGTTGTCAAATGGGCGCAAAGGCTCGAGGGTCGAACCCGCTAAGGAAGCGAGGGTGCAGGCAGTGTTGCCCAACGTGCTGCCCGAGCCAAGGAACAAATCATTGCTGCGCGTGAGTGTTGCTACATTCCCGTGGGCCTCCCTGTTATCGAATGGGCACAAACTTCGCTGCGGGCTGGTTCTGGCAAGTTTGGCCCCCATTGCCAGGGGGCCTTGGGGTGAAAGGGGGGGAGACAGTTTTGCACGAATCAGGGATTGGGAAGAAGTCTTGCGCTTTTGCCTTCCACGGCAGTGCCATGAAAGGCACTGCTGTGCTAGGGCACGTGGCGCTTTGATCTGCAAGGCGATACTGTGCGATATCATGCTATGAACTGCCACGCGATGTTGCTATGCTATGGTGTGCGCTGGTCTGCTATTTAATGCTCGGCTCTGCCGTGCTATGATATGCTAGCGATGCCATGCTCTGCCGAGCTGTGCGATGCTACCAATGCCATCTAGTGGCCTGCGGTCCATCCCGCCGCCGCCCCTGGGTCGTGCCAGAAGCCTCTTGCGGGCTCTTGGCAGGCCTCTTAAGGACCCTTGGACATCTCTTGGAGGCCTCTTGGAGGTCTCGGTGGGGCCTCTCGGAAGCCTGCTGAGACCTCTGTGTGGCCTTCTGGGGGCCTTCGGGGTCGGCTGGCCGTCCGAGAGCCATCTTGGAGGAAGGGCTCGGAATGTCCGTCGGCGGCGAGCGAGGGGGGGAAGTGAGAGGGAGAAAAGGCCTCGTCAGCAGGCGGCGGGCCCTCTCAGAATGGCGGCGGGATTTCTCAGAAGCCCTCGGGGCCTTCTGAGAGGTGTTTTCTGTGTCTTCCGGGAAGGCTCAGGCAACTTTTCGGAAGGCCGGGGATGTTTCGAGAAGGAGGAGGAGGAGGAGGTGGAGGAGGAGGACCCCAGGCTCGCTGCCGAGTCAGTTCATGCGCCCCTTCGTGGGCACGTCTCGAGGCCTCTGGCGCGCTCTCTCTGGGGCCTCGTGGGGGCCGTCTTGGGTGCGATCTTTGGGGGCCGCTCGAGCTGCCTCGGCCGCTCTTCCTGCCGCGCGCACGCGGCAATTGCACTAGGCGCACTGCTGCTCCATGACTCTGGCCTCTCTTGGGCCAGTCCCCAGGGCCTCCCGATTCGACCGAGGAGGCCCCCCCCCAGGAGGGCTCCACGACGCGAGTATGTGATCAATCGCCGGAGAGAGTCTGCTCCAGATTTCGTAAGAAAGGGGAGGGGGTCACAACCCTCTCAGACGAGAAGTTTCAGATCCCCCCCAGACCATCCACGAAAGAGCGGCCCTTTGCCCAGACCCCCCCCGAACCCTCAAGACAGCTCAAATCAGACCCCCCCCCAAATGAGACCCCCACCACTTTATTGTGGAATCCGGAGTACAAGGGAAGAACAAACATGGATCTAGGCCTCCTAGGCAGGGTCCGAGGAGATGGGGTCCTAGGATCGCGCCGCATCGCCGATGCATCGCCGATGCGGCCGGATGTGGAGCCCGTGTTTCCCCACGCCGACGCCGCCGATGCATCGCCGAAGTCGCCGATGCATCGCCGATGCATCGCCGATACATCGGCGATGCATTGGCGATGCGGCGCGATCCTTCGACCCCATCTACTCGAACCCCATCTAGGAATCCTCTAATGGAAGCGACGCCCGCGCAGTGGCATGAAGATCTTCCTCGTCCTCCTCTCGCGCCTCTCAGTTGACTTTTCCCCAAATCTCCGCGCACCGCTTCCGTGACACACGTTTGGGGTGTCGTCTAGTTGGACGATGCCATTTTTCGGGTGGCTCATTCAGTAGCGAATCAGTGCCGCCTGCTTGGATCACCTTTGGCAGTCCGCAGTCGCAGTGGTGTTGTTGAGTTAAGCAAGAAAATCCAATGCCTCTTGGTCGCTGACGAGAAGGTAGCTGCTGCCATTTGTGTGAGCATCCCTGGGGCACCTCTTGGGCGGACTGGGTCCTGCTAGAGTTCTGCTTTGGTTTGGAGTCGGCTGGCCGCCTTGGAGGACCAGGGTGCAGTGCCGTTTTCAATACATGCTCCGCGTGCGGATCACGTATTCAAGATGCGGGGAACTAGTATTAAAACCAACGATGAGTTCATGCACACCTTTACTCATACATTAGTTGTTTCTTATCTAAAAAAATCAATG